TCCAGGAAGAGCCCTATTCTTCGACTTCGGCCTGGCAGCGTATCTAATCATCCTATTCTGCCCCGGCAACGCAAGGTTAACAATGACTCAATCCCGAGACAGCCCGGTTCCCGAGTTCCCAGGTCGCGAGTAACCATCCAACAGATCGAACTCGTTTCCCGGGGCCGGTGTGGGTGAAGCGTTAACCCATCAGGTCCATTCACCGGGGCCCAAACAAAAGACGGAGCCAAAGTTGGCAGCTGGTTTCGGTGGCAGCGTGAAGTGACTTTTAATAAACCGAGTGCTTGAACGACTCGGTCGAGAGACTTTGCTCAAGAGAGAGGCGCAGAAAGAGTGGAATAGCGAGAGAACGAAAGAGAGAGTGAGAGACAGAGAGAGAGAAAGAAGAATGAGGAGAAAGACACCACAGGTTCCTCGACGGTTGTTACCGACGGATCGAGAGGGTTGGTCGCGGTGGGGCGCGCGAGCCGTAAAGTGGAAACGGTGGGAGAGGGCTGGCAGAGGGGCGAGGGAGGAGCGGACGGGTCCCTTTGTTCTTGGCGGGCGTTTTGTTTCAGGATTACGGGCTTATGAAGTATTCGCGTTTATCTGTGGCAACTACATGGCCGAGGAGGGGGGCGCGGCGGGGGCCACGGCCCGGGTAAACTGGAGCAAGACAACTAGGAGCGACGCTGCCGCCTGTTAATCCGCGAGCCGTACTGCTGATTTCGAATTAATTATCGTGTTAAACTACTGCTGGCCGTTTAATCCCTGTCCACCGTTCTGTCGGATCCACGACGCCCGCCGTCTACTGCTCCTCGGAATTTTTATGGTTCTACGAGCTCGCTGCGAAACCTACGTACTCGAATCCCGCGAATGCGAGCAGAGAACAGCTGGCCGAATTGTTTCGTATTTTCGCGGGATTCGAGTTTATCGGTCGGGAGTTTGTCAGTGTTTTGGAACTCCGTGGATGGTTTGTAAATTTTTGGAAAAGTTTCTGTTGGTTTGTTACGCTTTGTTTGGCGTACACACGCAGCGATCGGCGAGAATTCGACTGATTTCGGTTTAATGAATCGTTTTGGAAGAATTCGGCGAGATTGGAGAATGTTGGCTCGTCGGGATTTTGTATGTGTTCGGGAACTGCGTGGAGCATTTATGAATTTCGGGGCGTCCAGATTGGATGCAACGGTTAGAAATACCTTTTCTGATTAAGGTCAGACCTTACTTTAATTCGAAACGTCTGAAAATTATCTTTGAAATTTGTCAAATTCGTCGGCGAACCAAACAGAACCAAACGAAACTAGTAGTGCAACTCAATCATATCCGAGTCATTTGTATTTTAAAAATTGTAAATTGCAATGATACTGCAGAAATAACGTTGACACGTCCATTGAATTAATATTTGAAGATTATCTGAACTCGTTTTCGACTTTTATTTCGTTGAAATCGGTTTCCAAACGATTCTATGCGACACTTTATCTTCCTCAGTTCATTGAGCACATTCTGAAAAATTAATGACGTGCGATCGAAGGACCATTCATTCATGATTGACGCAACGAATAACGTAAAACAATGCTGTCACTCAAAATTCATACATCGTTTATGAATTTTAATAGCTTCGACAGAGTGTATAGTGGCCTAAAAAATTGTCTCTACAGCAAAACAAAGTTCACTCAATTTAAGTTTCACAACCGTGTAATAATTGCATCAGTCTGTTCCCATTGATTATCGAATTTGTCTGTATAAAAATATCGTTTAGAAATTCATTAAACTAAAATAGGAATATAATATAATAATAATAATAGGGATATAATAATAATAATAAAAACTTCTGTGAAAACTATTTCTTTCGTTGCTAAGCGTTCGACTACGACAAAAAAATAACCTCGCAGCTCCTCGCACCTCTACTTCTTAATGAAACTCCTTATTAATGAACCGAAAAGTCGTAAATACACGAATACCATGAACACCGTGTGACAGAAATTTCGTATTCGCCTGGCTACCCTCGAGTTCAGCTCCCTAGTTTCTAATTAAATGTCTCATGCTCCGAGTGCTCTCTTTTAATTTACATTTAATTAAACGTATCTGTGGTATCCGTCCGCTGACCGCTGTTTCGTCCAGCGGATAGCCGGGCTAATAATAATTTCGTTTGCCCGTTTCGAGGAATAAAAATTCTAGAAATTGTTTCTGTAATTCATGTGCAACATCCACGCATTGCAACGATGTTTCCGAACAGTCGTTTTCTGTCGCCTGCGTTCCAGTTTTATGTCTGTTGCATACGGAAGCAGATAAGATACGAGAAACATAAATTGAAAATGTAGAATAAGGTTGCGTTTTTGTAGTAAACGTCGTTCTCGAGAAAGTTAAATATTTCTTAGGTATCAATATATATTTTCATGTATATANAGGAATAAAAATTCTAGAAATTGTTTCTGTAATTCATGTGCAACATCCACGCATTGCAACGATGTTTCCGAACAGTCGTTTTCTGTCGCCTGCGTTCCAGTTTTATGTCTGTTGCATACGGAAGCAGATAAGATACGAGAAACATAAATTGAAAATGTAGAATAAGGTTGCGTTTTTGTAGTAAACGTCGTTCTCGAGAAAGTTAAATATTTCTTAGGTATCAATATATATTTTATTGTATCTAATAAATATTAAAATATATTATATTATAATATATGTAATATATGT